TGGTGTAGTAGTCCTGAGTCCTGTTTTAGTCCTGGTTTAGTCCTGGTGTTACCTGGCCCAGTCCTTAGTTGTAATATTTGTGCAGAGTTCTTTGATTCCTGCTGAGGAACCTGGTCTGTGATTGGTGGGCAAGTCGACGCCCACCTCACTGCAGCCACCTCCTATTTAAGGAGATTGCAAGCACTGTTTGGGGCTGCCTGGTGGCCAGTCTGCCATTTTGGTTTTGTGTTTGTGTGTTAGTCTAGTTCTGTTTTGTGCCTTTTTTGATTTGGTCACTCGATTCTGTTTGTGGCTATGTGTTTAATTTGGGGAACTTGTGTTTTAGTTTAGTGTGTGTCCTAAGTTTTACCACTGTTTTTGTGTAGCCTGCGGACCCTTTTCTGGTACAAAACTCTGTTTATTCTGTTGTTCTGTTTCTTTAGTTTAGGTTGTTTTCTGTATATTTTTAGTGTTTTGTTAATTTACCTTTACATTCCTGTTAATTAAAAATTACTTAATTTATTCCATTTTACATCTTGGTTTATTTTTGTTACTTCCTCACCCCAAACGAGCTTCGTAAACCTGTGTAGTCCTGGTTTAGTCCTGGTGTGGTCCTGGTTTAGTCCTGGTGTAGTCCTGTTTTAGTCCTGATGTAGTCCTGTTCTAGTTCTGGTTTAGTCCTGGTGTAGTCCTGTTCTAGTCCTGGTTTAGTCCTGGTGTAGTCCTGTTCTAGTTCTGGTTTAGTCCTGGTGTCCTGGTGTCCTGTTTAGTTCTGGTTTAGTCCTGGTGTGGTCCTGGTTTAGTCCTGGTGTAGTCCTGTTCTAGTTCTGGTTTAGTCCTGGTGTAGTCCTGTTCTAGTCCTGGTTTAGTCCTGTCTGTTAGTCCTGGTTAGTCCTGTTCTAGTTCTGGTTTAGTCCTGATGTAGTCCTGTTCTAGTCCTGGTTTAGTCCTGGTGTAGTCCTGTTTTAGTCCTGGTTTAGTCCTGGTGTAGTCCTGTTGTAGTCCTGTTCTAGTCCTGTTCTAGTTCTGGTTTAGTCCTGGTGTAGTCCTGTTCTGTTTTAGTCCTGGTTGTAGTCCTGTTTAGTCCTGTGTAGTCCTGTTTTAGTCCTGGTTCTGTAGTCCTGTTCTAGTTCTGGTTTTAGTCCTGTTGTAGTTCTGGTTTAGTCCTGTTGTAGTCCTGTTTTAGTCCTGGTTTAGTCCTGGTTTTTAGTCCTGGTGTTAGTCCTGTTCTAGTTCTGGTGTAGTCCTGTTCTAGTTCTGGTTTAGTCCTGTTGTAGTCTGGTTTAGTCCTGTTGTAGTCCTGTTTTTAGTCCTGGTTTAGTCCTGTTCTAGTTCTGGTTTAGTCCTGTTGTAGTCCTGTTCTAGTCTGGTTTAGTCCTGGTGTAGTCCATGGTTTAGTCCTTGAAACATGATACTGTAAAATCTGGGCAGTGCAGTGTCCATCTGTATTGACACAGCTGGACTCAGACTCAGCTGGGATCTTGGTGAGTGTAATATTGTGACAACTTAAATCCAGATTGTCAGTGTCCGTCCTTCACTTCGATGTATCTTATGTATTTTGTAGAATCTTATGACACAGAAGAATTGGTTTTCGAAGTGTTTTCCCACATTAAAAAAGGTTAAAAACAAAATAAATGTGCAGAATATATAAAGTATCTCTCCTAATACTACTCCTAAATGTATGCTCCACCAGGACTAAAGCAGGACTAAAGCAGGACTAAACGAGGACTAAAGCAGCACTAGAACAGGATTAAAATAGGACTAAATCAGGACTAGAACAGGACTAAACCAAGCCTTCATCAGGACTAAGACAGTGTTAAAGCAGGACTAGAACAGAACTAAAACAGGACTAAATCAAGACTAGAATAGGACAGGACTAAGACAAGACTAAACCAGGACTAAGCAGGACTAGAACAGGACTAAACCAAGCTTTCAGCAGAACTAAACCAGGACTAAAACAGGACTTTCTCTCCTCCTTGTCTCCTCTCTTGTACTCCCTCTTTTGTCCTTCTCTCTCCCTCTGTCCTTTCTCCCTGTCTCTTTCCTTCTCTCTATTCTCTCTCTCCTCGCTCACTCCCTCTTTCTCTCCTCCTTGTCTCCTCTCTCGCACACTCCCTCTCTTTCCTCCCTCATCCATCCTTCTCTCTCCCTCCTCCCTCTCTCTGTTCTCTATCCCTCCACCCCCTCTTTCTCTCCTCCTTGTCTCCTCTTTTGTACTCCCTCTTTCATCCTTCTCTCTTTCTCTGCCCTTTCTCCCTGTCTTCGTTCTCTCTTTCCCCTCCTCCCCTCTCTGTTCTCTCAATCTATCCCTCCACTCCCTCTTTCTCTCCTCGTCTCCTCTTTCGTACTCCTTCTTTCATCCTTCTCTCCCCCTCTACCCTTTCTCCCCGTCTCTCCCTCCTCCCTCTCTCTGTTCTCTTTCCCTCTATCCCTCCACCCCCTCTTTCTCTCCTCCTTGTCTCCTCTTTCATACTCCCTCTTTTGTCCTTCTCTCTCCCTCTATCCTTTCTTCCATCTCTTTCCCTCTCTCCGTTCTCTCTTTCCCCTCCTCCCCTCTCTGTTCTCTCTCTCTCATCCCCCACTCCCTCTTTCTCTCCTCATCTCCCCTCTCGTACTCCCTCTTTCATCCTTCTCTCACCCTCTGCCCTTTCTCCCCCGTCTCTCTCCCTCTCTCTGTTCTCTCTTTCCCCTCCTCCCCTCTCTATTCTCACTCTCATCCCTCACTCCCTCTCTCTCGCTCCTCCTCTCTCGTACTCCCTCTTTCGTCCTTGTCTCTCCCTCTGCCCTTTCTCCCCGTCTCTCTCCCTCTCTCCATTCTCTCTTTCCCCTTCCTCCCCTCTCTATTCTCTCTCTCTTCCCTCACTCCCTCTTTCTCTCCTCCTTGTCTCCTCTTTCTTACACGTCCTCTCTTTCCTCCCTCTTCCGTCCTTCTCTCTCCCTCTGTCCTTTCTCCCTGTTTCTCTCTCTCTTTCCCCTCCTCCTCTCTCTGTTCTCTCTCTGTCTCTCATCCCTACACTCCCTCTTTCTCTCCTCGTCTCCCCTCTCGTACTCCCTTTCGTCCTTCTCTCCCTCTGCCCTTTCTCCCCATCTCTCCCTCTCTCCGTTCTCTCTTTCTCCTCCTCCCCTCTCTGTTCTCTCTCTCCTCCCTTACTCCCTCTTTCTCTCCTCCTTGTCTCCTCTCTCGTACTCCCTCTTCCTTCCTTCCTTCTCTCCCTCTGCCCTTTTTCCCCGTCTCTTTCCCTCTCTCCGTTCTCTCTTTCCCCTCCTCCCCTCTCTGTTCTCGCTCCCTCTATCCCTCCACCCCCCCTCCCTCTTTCCACTCACCCCCTCTCCCCCTCTTCCTCCTTCTCTCTCTCTCTTCTCCCCCGTCTGATTTTTTTTCCCCTCTTGTCGATGTGGCACAGACAATACAGCGCTCCAAAACCGCAACCTCTACCTGCCTCTGCTAATGACAGAGGAGCGTCACCGTGGCAACACACAATTTAAACCAGATGCCCCGAAAGAGCACAGAGTAACGAACACGACGCAGCCAAAAGAGCCCGTCAGCTTGCGGAGGACTTAAGTTTGATATGGTAACGAGATTGGTAAAGCTAAAAAGTCCACGAAAAGCTGAAAATGTAGTTGTAATCAGAAATTGTTTTACAAAATTTGAGTGAACAACAAAAAAAAAAGGATGATCCAGAATCTTAAGGCATTAAATTCTTTCTTCTTTAGGCCATGAAATCACAAAAATGTCCATGTAAGTGTGCAGGATGAAGCTAAAACTGCAGATTTCAAAGTTCAGTACAAGCCGGCTTTGTGGAGCAAACAACAACCGGCTTTGTTCTATTTGCAGAGACTGAAAATGGGTTTTGTTTCATTCAGTAACTTTGAAAATATCTCTTGAATTTGCAATCCAATATATGAAAAATTATCTTATTTTGTCTTAAATATTAAAGTTTCACGCATGGTTAAAATCTGCATATCCATTTGCAGCATGAGATTGAATTGAGTCCCCAAACATACATAGTTTTTGCACAATTTGTTAGATTTTAGAAATTTTGACCAAAATTTGCAATGTTTGTGGTTGAATATTTGCGAAAGAAAATTTTGTAAACTGTCACTGTGCAAAATAAAGCAGGAAACCGCAAGCAAAAAGTACTAAAGTTAGACAAAATTAAATCTCAAAGTTTGTTTGTTTGTTTGTTTTTTTTGGTATTGGTTTAGTTCTGATTTGATCTTGGTTTAGTCCTGATGTAGATTTGATTTAGTCCTGTTCTAGTCCTAGTTTAGTTCTGGTTTGATCCCAGTTTAGTCCTGTTCTAGTCCTGGTTTAGTTCTGGTTTGATCCCAGTTTAGTCCTGTTCTAGTCCTGGTTTAGTTCTGGTTTGATCACAGTTTAGTCCTGTTCTAGTCCTAGTTTAGTTCTAGTCCTGGTTTAGTTCTGGTTTGATCCCAGTTTAGTCCTGTTCTAGTCCTGGTTTAGTTCTGGTTTGATCACAGTTTAGTCCTTTTTTAGCCCCAGTTTAGTTCTGATTTGATCCTGGTTAAGTCCTGGTGTAGACATGGTTTAGCCCTGTCCTAGTCCTGGTTTAGATCTGCTTTGATCCTGGTTTAGTTCTGATGTAAACTTGGTTTAATCCTGCTCTAGTCCTGGTTTAGTCCTATTTTAATTCTGTTTTAGTCCTGATGTAGACTTGGTTTAGTCCTATTCTAGTCCTGGTTTAGTTCTGGTTTGATCCTGTTTTAGTCATGATGCAGACTTGGTTTAGTCCTATTTTAGTTCTGTTTTAACCCTGGTTTAGTCCTGATGCAGACTTGGTTTAGTCCTGTTCTTGTCTGTCTAAGTCTTGGTGCAGTCCAGTTTCAGTCCCAGTTTAGTCCCGGCTTTGATGTGGTGTGCAAATGTGAACACAGCCATGACAAAACACAGCAGGAAAGAGAAAAGAAGGGAGAAACTCATTCATAAAAAGTGATAAAAGTGCATTTGTTTTTCACTGGGATCATCAGACAGACTATTTCTATTTCTGCGTGTTTCTTACCTGTGTGTTCAGAGCAGGAGAGCGGAGCAGAGCACAGCAGGACGGTCGGGGCGATCTAACTCTCAACTCCTCTCCTTAAGCCTGAGGACATCCACAGGGGGAGGTACTACACTGGAATCTGACCCCCTCTCTCTTTTCTCTCCTCCACCCCCTCTCCTCCTTCTCTCCAGAGCAAAGTCACTCCCTCTGTGGGCGGGTAGTGGCACGAGGATCAACAAACACACTGCAAAACACCGGGATCGAAAAAATTGCTGGATTGGATATCGGTTGCCAAATATTGGTTCAGCAAATATCCTGTTTTGACATTTGAATTGATGTAATAAAACTGTTTACTGCTCATAGTCGGCCCAAAAACTGTAGTTGGGTAAATGCAAGACTGATGAGTTTAATGCCACACTGAGGACAATTTAAACCCAAGCATTAACATCTCCATGGAGACAGATTGTGGACCCTTTCCAAAAAAGTTACACGGTGTAACTTTAGGTAATAAATAAGAACTACATGACACAGTTGCATGAGTTTTGTCTGATCATAATTGTATTTTAAAGGAGTAAATGCTGTTTTCGGTCTTTGCTCTGGTATCAGCTGATATCGGGTACAGGCAGACACTTTAAGATCTAGTATCGAAATAGGTATCAGAACTGAAAAAGCTGGATCGGTGCACCTCTATAGTAGGGTGGTCCAAAAAAGATTTTTTTTTTAGATTCTCTAGATTAGAACTCTGCATTTGGTTCCATATCTGGTCAAAATATTTGGGTCCAAATGTGATGCAAATTAATTAATATTTAGAGGTTTGTTACGTGCGGGCACATTGATTCGGATTATTAGTTGTTTTTGTTTCCTTTTGTAGTAAGTTGTGATTGGTCCTTTTTGGTATGGTTTTTGTTTATGGTTTATTTTTGTGTGGCTGTGCGGAGCCTATAAATGCGGCTGTTTGCCCGTGACGCGCTCTCTCTCTGCTCCTCCGCTCCGTGCGCCTTGCTCCGCTCAGCCACGCTCACCTTGAGCTCTCCAGACTCCGTGTGCGCGCTCTGAGGGTGGCCTCGCCCCTGTCAGCCAGGTGATGGGTGGGCTCCATGTAGCCTTCGTTAGCCATTAGCCTTTTGTTTTGACCTGGTGGGACCGGCTGTCCTGTTTTCGCTTTTCTTTTGAGTACAGGATGGTTTGGGTTTTTTTCTTGTTTTTAGTTACATTTGCTAGTACTGGCTTCTACGGCCCTATACGGGGTTTGGCCCGGTGTCACACCTTTTTGTTCTGTTTTCCCGGCTCGGCAGGTCCACCTTTTTATTCATTACTTTTCATTTTTTGGGGGGGCACGGGAGGGTTTTAAAATTTCTTTAAAAACGTTTTTTAAAAATTAAGAACCAACGATAAATAAAAGAAATTAAAGAGCTATATTTTGACTCTCGTGTCCTTTTTAAATATGTTGGGGCTCACCTTGTGGAGGTCGTAACAAGGTTGTTCAAGGCACTTGAAAATTGCCCTATAGCCTGGACTATAACATAAAACCAAATAAATAAGGAGTATTTGAATAATTTATCATTTTATTTTGGAAACACAAACTGAAACTTGCATTAAAAAATACTTAGAAAGTCCATAAAAGTTGGTTAGAAAGTCTAGCTCCACTGTGGCATTACAGTAGATGTGAAGCCTGTGCTCTTTGACTGTTTCTGATCTTCATTCTTTGTTCGACTACAGTTAAAATCTTGAATAAGCTTCAGCCCCTTTCAGCAACATCACTGACAACTTTCCTGGAATGCACAATTTTAGCAGCACTGATCTGCTTCCTTCATAATCTGCTTGATTAAGAGCATCACAACCTTTGAACTTCCTTTTCCATAATATTGTGAACCATCAGCTTCTTCTGTTCTTCTGTCACTCTGGAGTTGGAGGATCCAGTCCCACCATTTCTTCACTCAAGTACCAAAGATGTCACCCCAAAACTGTTAAGGCTGATTTCTTCACAACTGAATTTTCATACTGTGAAGCTTCTTAAGAGGATTTTTGTATAGAGGATTTTTTAAGGGAAGTGAAATACAGCGACAGTCCTTTTTCAAATGTTGTGCATGCGTAACACCACCATCCTCCTCCACAGCTCCCTCAGTAGAAATATCTCCTCCTGCCTCCTTACTCTAGAAATCATGCTTGTTTACATCCAGTGCACGTTCAGAATTACTGTTGAAATGACCTGTCTAGAAATATTTTAGCGAACGACGCGTCAGTTTTTAGACTCTTCATCTGCTTCAGTCGCGCAGTCGCTGGAAGGAATCTCCAAGAATCACCTCAGTTTGTCTTTGCTCCTTTTTGCCTTCACTTCTTCTTTCAGTGACCTCAAAAACTGACTTTCTTTTCTTTTGCGGCGAACCGGTCGTGGATTCTCATCTGCAATTGCAACAAACTTTGTGCGAATTGCGAGGAAGCGAACAGTTTGAAAAAGCCTCTAAGAACCGCTGCATAAACCACGTAATCCCCGCACACCTGCGAGTCAATTACATTAGAAACGTAGGGACAACCTAACAGCCAATAGATAAAGAGGGAGCCTCATTGTCTAATGGCTGATGTTTATCTGGCCTCACTACATCCACAGTTGATAGATTTTCATTCTTTCTTTTTTTTTTTTGGTCATCATATTTACAAGGCTGCTGCGTCTCTGTAATGGTATTTTAAACTTTTACTGACAATTTGAAACAAAAAAAAAAAAAAATCCTCCATACAACCTTTAAGGAAAACCAAATCATCTGCAGGAGCTTCAACACTTGATGTAGAAACTTAATGCAGCTACATCATCTTTTGGATGCTAAAACCTAATGCAGTGTTCTAATCGAGGTGATCTGAAACTTGATTTTTTACCATGCTTTGATGGACCAGCAAGAACTTGAATCAGAATTTGACTTTGAACATTAGATTTGACATGAATGATTAAGCTATAGGTTAATAATGGTTAAGTAGTGGTAATATACTATTGTAGCCACAGCTGCCCTGAGACAGACTGACAAAAGTGTGGCTGCCAATCTGCGCCATCGGCCTCTCAGATCACCATCGACACTCAAACACACACCGCATACATACCAGGCAACGTGGGCGAAGTGTCTTGCCTAAGGACACGTTTATTTGACTGTATTTCTTGTTTTAGAAAATGTTTACCTTTTCTCCTTTGCGATTCTCATTTTTAATTTGATGATTTCAGTGCAGCGTTCTCTGTAGTCTGGCTTTTGCTCAAAGTCATGTTTCAAAACGGCAACTATTTTTAGACTTTATATTTTTGCACAACAACTCAACAACAAATGTAATGTAATGACAGTTGTAATGACGGAAACAGTCGACAATAGAGGCCTTGGCTGGTGTCTTATCAGAAGCTTTCTTATGGCTTAAACAGATGTCCTTCAGCATATTTTAAACATGACGGTGCTGCAGGTTAGCGTCCTGTCTGGGCTATATTTTCCTCTTTAGTCACGTCTCCACTGTCCCTCACTGAACATCATGTTGTGTAGAAGCCTTTTTTTTCTTTTGTTTTGTTTGTTGAATTAGTGCGTTATTGTTTCATTTCAGATTCACCCGAAAAGTCACGTCATTAAAACAAACGTGTAGAAAAGCATATTCAAAGATATTCCTGAAACTCGACCTACTCCAGCAGCATGAAAAAAACACTTTTCTTTACGTTAATAATAAATAAGAATAAACTATAACAGATCCAGATCACTGTTACGTTACAATTTGTTCAAACCACAAACATGACCTGATGATAAACAGGACCACTGACTTCTTGTTAAAAACTTACAACTTCATTTTTTTTTTTTTACTTAGTTTTATTGTTTAAAAATGATATAAAATTTTGTGTGAATTTCAGAATAAAAAGTGGGTGGAGCTACGGGGTGAGTGATAAAACAGGACTTACTCAAACACGGTTCAATCACAGTTCAACTCTGAGTGGATAAACCTTCCTAACACTTGACTTTGCTTTGTGTGTCTTCTTTAAAAACGTTTGGATACTGTTGAATCTGAGTCGGGTCAGTAGTTATGAGTCTCTGGAGCATCCTGACCTGGAAAAAAGTCTGGAACATCTCAGTCTCAGACTCCAAACTCCTGAGTCAGTCTCACGGCAGCAGGAGCCCTTGAGTGCGTATACATGCACATCAGTATCCCAGTTATTCGTCATATCCCGGTTCTGTCAGTATTCAGGATACTGCGTTTACATGCGCGCTGAGAAACCGGGACACTCATATCCCTGTGTACATGATCAAATGTAGTATCCCGGTTTCTTGACATAATCTTACAAATGCACAAGTGCAAAAATTTACTTAAATCAATTTAATAAACCAGGAAAAAAACAAACCGTCAGCTCCTTTAGCATAAGAAGCTCAGGAGGTTTAACCAGCGGTGAGGAGCTACAAGATCTCCCACAATCCACTGCACACATCAAACCCAACACATTCTTCATTAAAATCTTCTGCATAAATAAACTCAACTTTACAACATATAAACCATAACCACTAGAGCCACATCAGCCGTTTGATCATATCATTCAGCTTTGATCACAATTTACAGAAACAAAACTTAAGACTACATGGCTGATTTACATAAACGATGATAAAATCAGCTCGCTCCTTGGTTTCTTTCGGACTAAAGGACACGACTCAGTGGATTATGTGTGTTCTTTTTGTGACAGAGGAGGTGCTGATGACGGTGAGTCTGTTCTGTGTGGATATCGTACAGGAGATAGTTCATGTTTTAGCTTTTCAGTGATCATATGTGTGCAGGTCGTACGTGCGCAGATTGTACGTGTGCAGGTTTAGCGCAGCTTTTTATTCTACAGTCATTTCACTCGTGTATGGTCACTTTATTTATGTTGGTCACTTTATTTATGTTGGTCACTTTATTTATGTCGCTACTGTTGAGGTGAAAAGACTGGAAAGTGTTTGTCTTTTGGACGCATGCACACTCAACTTTATGTTGCAGTAACCGGGATACATGCCACAGTATCGCGGTTACTATCGGAATATACCAGCTACAGTATCCTGGTTTGTAATAACCGGGATACTGAAACCGGGGTACTGCGTTTACATGCACCATGAAGAAACCGGGATACT